CGACCCCCAGGTAACCACTCCCCACCCACCCAACCAGCCAGGCCAGCCACTCTTGCTTCACTGGTGAACACCCATCCTGTGAACATCCATCCTTTGCCGGGAACCGCCCACCCTCCACCAGCAGGCACGAGCGTCCCCCACAGCCCACGACAACCATCCGTTACCAGCAAACACTCCCCCAGCACCCCCACAGCCCGGTCATCTCCTCCACCAGCAGACGCCCCCACGGCGAACAACACCCTTCCTTCACCAGCAGACACCCCCCCCCAACACACACTCACTCCTGTGCACGATGGAGGGGCCGGACTCGTCGTACTCGCTCTTGGCGATCCACATCTGCTGGAAGGTGGAGAGGGAGGAGAGGATGGAGCCGCCGATCCACACGCTGTACTTGCGCTCGGGGGGCGCCACCACCTGCAACGCGCGCGGGGCAGCATTGGGGGGCGCGGGGGCTCAGCGTTCTGCATTCAGCGTTCCGACCCCTGGGTTAGCAGGGGGCAGAAGGAGGCACGGCCGGCCAGGCTGCGGCCGGCAGGCCTGGCTGCTGGGAAGGGAGCAGGGGCGAGGAGGCAGGTAGGCCCGGAGCTGCAGAGGGCAGACAGCAGCAAGCAACCAAAAAAACAACCAAGCAAGCACACAAGCAAACCAACTCCCGCCCACCTTGATCTTCATGGAGGAGGGCGCCAGGCTGGTGATCTCCTTGGACATGCGGTCGGCGATGCCCGGGAACATGGTGGTGCCGCCTGGATGGGGGGTGTGGGGAGGGGGGCCGGCGGTGAGCCCAGGGGGCGCGAGGGCAGCCAGCAGCGGCGAGCCAGGGGCTCGCTCCCACAAGCAGGCAGGCACCAGGCAGCCACCCGACAGCACGATGTAGGAGCACAGGCCCTTGGGACCCCACACCCCACCCTCTCTACTACCCACTACCCACCCACACGCTCCCGCCTATTCACCCCACGCCCCAACCAATGTTTACCCCCCCCACACACACACACTCCCCACCTCACGCCCCAACCATCTCTACCCACCCCCACCCCCACCCACCCAACCCCACCCACCCGACAGCACGATGTTGGAGTAGAGGTCCTTGCGGATGTCCACGTCGCACTTCATGATGGAGTTGAAGGTGGTCTCGTGGATGCCCGCGCTCTCCAGACCCATCATGGACGGCTGGAACAGCACCTCGGGGCACCGGAACCGCTCGCTGCCAATGGTGATGACCTGCGGAAGGGTGGGGGTTGGGCAAGGGGTGAGTGGTGGGCAGGGCAGCAGGCAGGCAGGCGGCAGCCAGAGGTGGGCGCGGGGCGGTGCTGGGTTGCCCCAGCGGCGGCGCCCGGAAGCGCAGCGGCCAGCCGAGGGGAGGCCGGGCGCGGAGCGCCCGCAGCGCCGGGCCTCTTTAACGCTGCACTATGTGGATGCCGCCCTCTGCCTGACGCTGCCACGCCGCTCAACTCTCTGCTGCCCGCCACCCCAGCGGCGCCACTCTGGCGCTGCCACCGCCGCCCCCCCAGCGCCCCGGCCCGCTGTCAGAGCCGCACCTGCCCGTCTGGCAGCTCAAACGTCTTCTCCAGCGTGGAGGAGGAGAGGGAGGTCTGCAGCTCCTGCTCGTAGTCCAGCGCCACATACCCCAGCTTCTCCTTGATGTCCCGCACGATTTCGCGCTCCGCGGTGGTGGTGAAGGAGTAGCCGCGCTCGGTCAGGATCTTCATCATGAAGTCAGTCAGGTCGCGCCCCGCCAGGTCCAGGCGCTGGATGGCGTGCGGCAGCGCGTAGCTGGGCGGGGCGGCGGGGAGGGGCCCAGGAGGGACGGGGAGGGAAAGGGAGGCAGGGTCAGGTGCGGGGTGTGGGGCAGCAGCGTGGGGAGCAGCAGGGCAGCACGGGGCAGGGAGGGCAGCGGCCAGCGCCGGCAGGCAGGCAGCAAGGGCGGCAAAGCAGGGTGGGCGCGAGGGCTGCACAGCACCAGCACGCGCAGCCCCGGCAGCCCCGGCGCCGACAGCGGTGCAGACACACCCGGGCCCAGCGCTCCTCGCAGCTGGCAAAGCACTCGCAAACCACTCGGGGCGCCCCTGGCAAAGCACCACCAGCACCAGACACGCCCTGCCGCGGCGGCTGGGCTCACCCCTCGTAGATGGGCACCGTGTGCGACACGCCGTCGCCGCTGTCCAGCACGATGCCGGTGGTGCGGCCTGAGGCGTACAGCGACAGTACCGCCTGGATGGCCACATACATGGCGGGCACGTTGAAAGTCTCAAACATGATCTGGGTCATCTTCTCCCTGCAGTGGGTGCAGGGCAGGGTG